ATGTCCCTTGCCTATCTGGTCGTTGTCATCTCTGTTGAGGCAACACAACGCCTTTGATGTGAACTATTTTAATAATATTCATTTGAGGAGTGATATAGTTATGAACATATACGTTTCGAGGTCACGCGCAATTTATTATAACAGAGGTATTCAAACTGTGCGTCGCGGCTCCCAGGGGCGTCGAGGGAAATGTCGAAGGTAGCCGCGTTGTATAATTGAAAACTAATAAATATTTTTACGAAAAATGTTTACTGTTATCATTGATGCACAGCGGTTGGGAAACGTTGAATTGTCAAGAACAATCATTCGCTAAATATAGTTTTAATTTTTTTATACATGTAATATGGTAAATAAATAATAAAATATAAATTACATTCATATAAACATTGATTTTTTTGTCATTTATAATTTGGGAGCCGTCAACATTTTGTGAAGACTTAAACGAGCCGTGTGATGAAAAAGTTTGAATACCTCTGTATTATAACAAATAGGCGATTTGTAGGCCTCCTTCAACTATTATATATATATATAGAGTTCTTGTTCTTTGAAGTTACATTGTGTGTTTCACATGTTTATTTATAACTACCTGAGTGATTTACTAATTATTAATCATAGTCACAGCTCGCTACACAACCATTAATCAGTTTACCCAATTTCTCACGACTCTACCTCATCTTATCACATCAACGGTATTTGTGCGACTGTGCGCAGGAGATCGCTACAGAGCATATGACTATAATCAATTCTCCGAGTCAAATATTTTAATACAGTGTAATAATTCACTAGTTATCATTAAAGAGTTCTAATTGAAATATGTCATAAAATTATACAACATTCAACAGTATTCGCATTCATTTCGATAAGTACACCTAGTCCTATTCCTTTCAACGACACCTGTAGTCGCAAGACCACTACAGCACTATTATTACAATACCTTAATACTTATACCTGCCATCCTTGGGTACTTATTTTAATGTTATGCCCGGCCTACCCTTGTGCCTTGTGGTTAAGAGCATTTGTTGTCTTCGTCTTACACATGTATGACATAGAACATTTTCGTTCATTAGTTTCAATAGTATGCTATTAGTTTTGATATTAGAGTAAATTTACCTATTATCAAAGTTTTAGGTAAGAACATTATCTATGCTTAAGAGTTGGCGAATTTTTGGATATTTTTGTTTTCAAGCTAGGTATGAGCATTTTTGATTTATGTTATTTCACATACTCGTATCTTGCCTAAAAATGAAAATATTATCGAAAATCTGCCGACTCTCAAGCATATATAATGTTCTTACCTAAAAGTTTGATAATACTTAAATTCACTCTAATATAAAAACTAAAGGCACACTATTCAAACTAGTGAACGAAATTTTGCTATGTCGTAAGTTGGTAAGGCGGAGACATCAAGTCATTAACTACCAAATGACTCAATATAAACCAATTAATATTTATAAATTATAACTTATAACACAATGTAATACATATACATGTATTCATATTTATTTTAAAATTTTTTTCGGTGGATTTTTTTTCCGTAGTGTGCTTATTTTTTGTTGGGCTTTTTTCCACAGTTCACCTTCCTGTTAATACATTCCAACATTATAAGAACTTTGTTAGTAAATCATTTTACATGTACAATGTAATATTATGTATATTGTATATGAGAAAGACGTACATTCAAGTGGAAGTAATTGTTGGTAGTATTGATTTTTCATTTATTGAATCATATAATTATAGGGTTATAGTTGTATTTATTAAATTTGATCAAAATTTTTTGGGTAAACATTTAGTTCATCATTATGGTGTGATTGTCATGATTAAATTGAAACACTTGTCTTATAAATTTAGGACCGGATTTAATTGTCCTTTGAAAATGAATTTATGACCTAAGGTCCTAAGAACTTTAAAAAATCACTTAGAAATATTGCCCGGATTTCTTCAACACAAGATAAATTTGTGAATCGTAGTTGTATTTAAAAACCAGATTACCTAATGTTGTTTTAGTACTATACAAATTATGTGTATTTATATATATCAATATAAATTTTTATCTTTTTTCGGACCAAATATTCCTATAATATACTAGAAATGGGTTAAAAAATGACCAAAAAAAAATCACTCTAATGCAAAAAATGCACAAACCACTAATACAAATTTCTTCTTGACACTTGTTCCCAAACGAGTTTCGGTGATATAGCTTAACATTCTAGATTGTACGCAATCTAGTTGCAATCTTAATTTTGAAGATATTATAGACACCAATAGACGATCTAACATTAGTATTATTCCACCTCACCTATTTTTTTTTTTTTTTTTTGATAGGTATCAACTACATTTAGACAGGTCGTTTCTCAACCTAATTCTTGGTTGCCAGAACTCGCATATTGAGACTTGATAATAAATTTGTGTAGTGAAAGCTGTAGAATATTATAAACGTATTTCGATTTCCACCAACATAAATTAAAATTATTTATTATATAATATTTTTCAAAAAATCTATTCATTTTTTTAGTGCACTATAAAATGTATTAATCTATAGTACAAAGTTTTCCTTTTAAGAAATGTACTGAAAGCTGAGGCTATAACTTGTTTTTTACAACCTCCGGGAATACGGTCATACATGTGTACAGATATCCGGTAGAGGCCTCCTTAAATCATAATATACCTAAATAAAGCGGTTCACGAGGGCAAAATATTTATTATTTTAAGATGTAAGTATTTTGTCCCCTGTTGCTCATTGAATCTTGAAGCCACTCGGCTTTACAGTTTACATATACGATTTAAAATTTAAATATTGTTTTCGACTTGAACATTATGCATTTGTGCTTCACGTTGAATTATTATTTAATTTTAATTTTATAGAATATTCTAATTTATTATTCTACAGAGTGGTTTTATTATTGTTTACCATCTCATAATTTTGAACGGTAGCAGGTCACATCCCCGTCACTGTTTCCCCGTTCGACATTTCCCCGTCTGACTAATTTTCTCGTCGGACATTTGGACATTTCCCCGTCTAATTCAATTTAATTTAGTTACACAAATGTAGATACATCACAATGTAGATTATATACAATAAGTATTATTGTCATGCTGTAGATTAGCTATACAGATAGCGACAATTCCGTTGCCGTAGTACATTAGTTTTATCGATGATCAAGATAAGAGCAACCGAGAAGATATAAATGGCAGATTGTAAGGTATACATTATAGTAGTATACATAATAATCAGTCATTCGATATTCGACAACCGTCGCGCGTCGTTCTTATATTATAATATTTGCCATCTGATCGACTATAATTTAATTGTTTATTGCGTATTATAATAATTAATTTATAATTATATTTTTTTCAAATTTAATTTTTAAATTTCTAATTTGTTGTTAAACAAATTTATACAATATCTATTATTGTTTTAGAGTACGTTAAAAGTTCTAAAGGAAACGATTTGTTAGTGTTTGTAGGATATGTATTTGAAAAAGATTATACAAAAAATGGTAAGACGTATTGGAAATGTTTAAAATATGATAACGATAAGTGTCTTGGACGAGCATACACACTAAAGATGATGCAGTTGTACACCACAAAGAGTGAGTTGCCCTTGCCAGTCCCAAGTCTGGAAATAAGTGTGAGGGCGCTTACATTACAGTAATTATATTTTAAATTTGAATTAGATGGGGAAACGAGGACGAGGACGGGGAAATGTAAATTTTTTCTATTAAAAAAAAGTGTCTTCAGACAGAATAATAAAATAAAACATACCATCATTATTAAGTCAATACATTATGCACTTTCCTCAGAATCTAAAATCACTCCTTTATAATGAAATTTTCATTAGGTAATGACTAATGAGTAATTCGATTTTTCTTACAACGACACTGATATTAATTAAGCAGATGGTGGCGTGGTGCTTCAAACTAAACGAGAATTTTTTTGAAAATATAATAAGTGTCTTGACAAAAAATGTACTGTAGTAAGTTTGGCGCAGTGTTTGTGTTTTGGTAGGTTTTGCGTCCTCTACATGAGTCTTTTCAGCTGGCTTGGTATTTATATATTATATGAAATACAATTAATAAATATATACATATATACACAGTGTGATCACGATTTAAGGTAACACTAAATTTCTCACCCGGATGAACTTGTATTGAAAAGAATTTTTGGGGGAAATACGTACATATTTCTTGAAAATGTCAAATTCTTAATACTTTCGGTGCGCGCATGAGCAGTACAAATTCATTTTTTTTAATGGCAATACCTATTTTATAAATAAAAATGTTAAATATTTAAATACTTAGGGCCAGTTGCACCGTCTCTGATTAAAGTTAACTGGAGTTTAATCGGCCGAATTTGCCCGGTTAAATATCTGTTATCAGCTGATTAAGCTTAATCGAAGTTTAACCGTAGACGGTGCAACTAGCCCTAAGCTCGTACATTTTAATGTATAATGTTAGTGTTTATTTTACTGCGTTCATAGAAATAGTAATGATATTCAGTAGTAGTAACTAGTAGTAGTACTACTACTTCTACTACTATTAATAATAACAATAAGAATCATATTAATAATAATTACAAAATTTAATGAAAAAAAAAAATTGAACATTTTTTTTTTCAAAATCGAATGATGGTTGTCATTCGTTTAATTTTGAACTTAGAGCAAAGTATTATGAGTCAAATCGACTTGAAAAAATTCGGTTAGTCCAAATAATGTGTTAAAAATATGTGTTACCATTTAAAAATATGCATTTTGTACTGTGCATGCGCGCACCGCAAGTGTTAAAAATTAGAAAAATTCACAAAATATGTATTTCAGTACCACCTAATAGTCCCCCCCCCCTCATAATTCATTTCAATTCAAGCTCATCCGACTGAAATATTTAGTGTTACCTTAAATCGTTATCACACTGTATGCATAATAATATAATTTAGTAGTAGTAGTAGTCAGTGGCCAATATGATTTGATCACAAAAGTAACACGGCCGCGGCAATGGTGTCCACAGGTGAAGAGATATTCGTACACGACGAGTAACGAGAGCACCACTTCCAGCCAACAGCTCTGGTCACTGGAACGCAACTGTTCGGGCAAATGCGAAGACGGGTGCATCGTGATCGGTGAACGGATCAAGATCTATGCGTGTCAATCGTGTTGCGAGTCACCGCTGTGCAACGTGTCCAACGGATCCGACCGTCGGTCCTCAACTCCGTCGTTTGTCGTTTGTCTTGCGTTTTTGTTCTTGCTCTTGAGAACCGCCGTCGATCAACTGCAGTTGCCGCCGTCGAAACGACCGTCCGCCACACTCTTCTCCACTTCCGAGTCCTCCTTCTCGTCCTCTCCCTTCCACTTGTCATCAGACACTAGATTAACCACAAAAATCATTAAATATTTTATATTTTTATCATCATCGATCCATCATCTGTTCACCTCACAGTTTGTCGCTTTCGACACATCCCCGGTACATTTTTTTTCCCTAAAAAACTAAATATCATATTATAAATAGATATTGTTAAAAACTAAAAAGAATAGTAGGTACGTACCTACTTGGATATAGTAAATACGTAAAATAGGTATATAACGCCTACCATAATATACAATACATTTACCTATTACCTATACTAGAAGACATCAAAGGGGCCGAAATAGGTAACTTAAACTCGTTGACAAAATACTGATGAGTGTTGAATGATGGTCCCCTTCCCTAAACAAATTTACACTTTTAACTAATTAATATCGAAATATTATAGTATCGGATGAGGATAATCTTTATATTGTATCACATGATTCACATGACACGTGTCATAGGTAAAACACATTTTTATCTGTATTATAATATATTATATGATTTTGATAAATATTTTTTGATTTACTGTGCCAACTAAAATATTATTGGTACCAATCTACCTTTTACATAACGTCATAACATTATATAAAATAATAAACTACCTACCTATGTCTTTTTCGTAATCTATTTTTGAAAATCAACCATTTTTGTTTCCTTTAAAAATGTTCTTCGTTTTTGTAGCTATTTGGCATTTGCCTAATGCAGTAATGCCACTACCTATCTGGCTATCTCTGATATAGATTCTATATTGTAATATAGTATTAATAAATAATTCCTATACCTATAATATGTTTCATTAATTATTTGTACACATTTGTGTATGTTACTTATCTAGGCACCAATTATTGACTAGGTATAGTACAAGCTAGACTTGTAAACTTTACAAACATATTTTATAACTGTAATTGGCGGGTATATAACTTTTTTTATTAATTACCACCTCAGTTAGCACTTAGTGCCGCACTGCTATCGCTGTGCATATTGAATAGGTAAGTAAATTGTAATTATATAATTTATCATTGCCGCATTGCACAAAAAATTAATTAATTAAATGGTTCAATAATAAAATTGAATGGACCAACCAATATACATATTGTGGTCCCTAAATCTTGCTTAAGGAATCACCAGCTCACTATTGATTTAATACAAATTTAGCAATTGTTCTTGCAACTTGCCACCCGACATATGTAAGTATGTTAAGTATTAAATTATGTCATAAACAGATAAACTCATAATATACTATAAATGAATTCTGGAAAAAATGGCAAGAAATAGCAAAGCAAATTCTTACCTATTATTGTTAAAATATAAAATATGTATTAGGTAGTTACTAGTTAACTAATGACATGTTCAGGAAGTAGGCAACATAAGAACAATCAATACATTGTATATATAAATTATTTTAAATTAATATTTATTTGGTAATATTTCAAAACATTTAACATAATTGGTAGTATTCAATGAGTTAGTTGTGTAATGATCATCACAGACAAGTTTACCTATTTCCTGTTAATCAGAATAAAGGATGATTTTTAAATGCTTACTACAACGGTAACGCTCATAAAATTATCTCACATTAAAGTACACCATGTTTTAAAAATTGAAGAAAGTTTTACAAATAAATAAATACATCAGAATTTAAATTTAATTGTAATAAACCCATCGTACCAACACATTTTATATCAAAAAGTTATACAAACAAAATATATTTCTGTTAATACGAAAAAATGAACCATTGACATTTTTTTTTTACCATCACAACAGTATTTAAAGTCAAATTAACTTAGTCAACTTGAGTAATTTATCAATCATTATAGTGCCTACAAAAACAATATAATTTTGTTAATCCCATTGTATAAAAATACAAGTGATTAAACATTGGCTTATTTGTGGTAACTAGAAATTTAATTGTGGAAGACTTTTGGAACATGTTTTTCATTACAATTACTAATAAAATTTGAAATTGAGTCGATTAAAAATCTAATATTTTATATAGGGACCCAAATGGAAGTATACTATATACTCTTAAGTTAAGTACACAATGAATGTTTTCACTATGAAAATGGTTAAAAATAAATAACCGAACATCATACAGTACTTTATTAAACAATAGGTAAGTATTAAAATAAGTTTCTTTTAAACAATTACATAATTTATCTGAAAATAGTTATCATTTTATTATTTGATGACAACAAAATACCTAATTTCTTATTATAACTATTCAGAAAATGTTGTACTCATCTTTACTTTTATCAATAATGATTTCATACGGTAAAAAAAAATTTGTTTAGTTATAATATGAACACATTTAAGTATTTTCAAACAAATACATTACAAAACACGGAATTCGGGAATGTCACATTCACTAAAGCAAAATACTTTACATTTCTATTAATAGTATATTAGTATAGAACAGGGGTCACCAAATGGTGGTAGCTTATACTTCCAGATTCCTAATGTGGCTCTTCAAAAATATTAATTGCTGACCCCTGGTATAAAATATATTATGTTACATATTATAACTAAAATCTAACACATTTTTAATATTATTTTAATATACATTATAATATAATAAACCATTATAGAATATTGATGTATGTAATCTTTTTTTATTTCAAATTACCTACTTCAACCAAAAATAATAAAAAATAATGAATACATTTATAGTTATAAATACCATAAATATTGTGTTTTGATTTAGTAAAGGTAACATTGAGTTTAGAAAAATAGAATACTAATATAATTTATCATTATAAGAGACCAAAAAAATAAATATATATAATATAAGCAATTTGCTTAAGATTTAATTATACTTTTGAATGGGGTTATTGAGCATACTATTTATAAGGAAAAAATACCACTAATTTGTTGATTTAATAAAAATATTTATAATAATATATCTAATAGTTTTAATAGAAGTCATAAAATTTCCAATAGTAAAACATTATCATTTATAATTTAAAATTGTTTTATAACAGAAATATTTTAGTATTTTTTTATACATTTTTCACAACAATATAAATTAATTAATAACTAAAACAGATAAGAAGCCCACATCTCTTCCATTTTTGTTGTTCCTATTTTTTTTTTAGTGAGTGAATTATTCATTAAATGTTTCTTAAAAAATTGTTCAACATTGTACATTTATAAAAAAACAAAGTATGTAACAGTGTATATAATCAGCTCCACACATCAGCAGAATATCTTTTCTGTTGTTCCATTTTTTTAACGTAATTGAGTGCTTGACTATTGGTCATTTGACCCTTTTCCATTACAACTTTTACAATAATACTATGCACATCTTTGGCCATGCTCCTCGCATCACTAAGCATAAACAATTTAATATCATATATATAAATTTAAAATTATATTACATTTTAGAACAATTGATACATACCCACAAACATATAAATGACCATTTTTTTCACCAATTATATTCCACAGTTCATCGGCATTTTGTTCTAACAAATGTGTCACATACTGCTTTTCGGGTTGGTCACGGGAAAATGCCAAATGTAGCTAAATTATTGAAAAAATAGTGAATAATGAATTTGGTAAATATTATTTTGGCAAAAATATTTTTTGTCAAATATTATAGTAAAAAACTGTATGTCAATGATACAATATTAAAATGCATTTTCAATTTACCTTTGTTAAGGTTCCATTAGCAACATATTCTTGTAACTCATTTTCATAAATAAAGTCTTCATCCTTCTTTCGACATCCAAAGTACAAAACCATTTCTCCAATTTCTCTTCCTATGTAGGAAATAAACAGTTAAAAAATTTAATTTAAAAAAAATCTTTAGTGTATACATTTAAAGAAAATATAGTTAAAATAAAAATTACAAACCTTCTTTACGTGCATAATCCCTTTCTTGTATAAAACCTCGGAATGGTGCTAGTCCTGTACCAGGACCAATCATTATAATTGGAGTTTGACTTTTAGGAGGCAATCTATAAATAAAAATTGTATCAAGGTCTATGCAAATCCATTAATTTAAAATAATTATAAACAAACATTAAGCATATAATATGATTTTTTTTTTGATTTACTGGAAAATTGAATTTCTACTTTTTTCCTTTGAATGTTAACCTAATAAATATACATTCAATTATTTTCGTTTAAACTACATAAAACATTTACCTGAATTGAGATCGTCTAATATAAATAGGTATAGTAGGTTGTGGAAGTTCATCATTGGTTGGTTTCAGTTGGGATAATAAATTAGTTGCAACACCTTTATTGACACGATTAGTAGGAGTAGTATATTCTACTAGAACTGCTGTAATATGAATAGATTTTGGATACACTTTTGGTGACGAGGATATTGAATAATAGCGACACTGCAATCGTGGAAGTAGTTCACATAAATGGTCCAAATCAGGTTTGACACTCGGTAAATCTTCCAAAATATGAACAATATTACGGTTGTCGCGCAAAATCCATTCATGAAATTCTTTTTTGCCCTCAGGGGTTGAGCTTGCCATAAGCTTTAGTTTTTCTTGATCCTAGAACAAAATAAACACAAAAATTATAGAATTTCATAAAAAAATTAATTAATGGTTATTAAAACAAAAACAAACCTTTGGATCACTTGCATATTCAATTAATTCTTTCATAATATGTGTTCGTGGATTTGAAGTTATATCCAAATAATAAGTTAAAGCTGTTCGGTAAGTACAAGGACAAGGGAATGGGTGTTTTTTACTGGATTCCTCTGGAAAAAAAAAAGTTATTATAAGTTATAGTAAATTTATATTAAACATATTTTTCTAATAAACAAATTATTACCATCAGTGTTCAATAATGAAAATACAGTATCTAAATCTGCATTTAATAATTTTCCAATTTTCTCTACTAATTCAGAAGAATTTTTGGGATAGACGGCCACATGATCTCCTGTATCATACCTCATCTTTGATCCATCAATATCAAACTCAATATGCATACAAGAACGATCACCAGATTTGTGCAGCTCACGATTTACTGCAATTTTGGATAAATATGGGTTCTTAACATCAAATGGGCTGAAAAATAAACATATAAATTAATAAAATATAAAAATCTCTTAAGAGTAGGCCAAACCCTCATGGTGTGTTGTATCCGTCTACAAATGTGCAACATAGCAAATTTGCACTTCAGCAGTTGGTTTTAATAATATGTGAATCGATCTATCATCAAACTTAGAGTAATAACTATAGGCTATTATTTGTATTTTAATTTTAAAGTAAGTTATAAGTATAACTATAAAAATATTACAATTTTAAAATGTCATGATTACTTTTAAATATGATAATAAGTCACTGTGATAAAATTAATTTTAACTATACATTTTATCATACTGAATATATATTTTCTATGTTGTACATTTGAACAAAGAAGACTAAACACATGGGTTTAGCATCCTCATAATTATGATGACGAACTTAACATATCAAATACAACTTACAATCTTTGGTTTTCATAAGATTTAAGTCGTGATATTTCACCAGAAAATATTCGCTCAGGTAAAACTTCGGAACAGTCTACTAATTTGTATTGTCTAATATTACTTTCTTCGCCAGTTTCTTCAATACCATAATGGGAGCAAACACTTTCCCATAATTTTTCTTTCCAAGAAACAAAGTCATCTTCAATACTAAAACATAAGTTAATGTATATTTAAATATTTTAACATTAAATGAAATGTTAAGTTGAGTTAGAAAGGTTGTAAGAAAACAAATATTAATGTAAGAATTTATATGTCTCTAGAGATTTATCTAAACCTTAGAAGTGAGAACTAAAAACTATTTATTATTCATAATACTGCTAACGTTTGGACATCCTTAACTATTTATTACTATCTAGTCTCAGGATGTTTTCATTTTTATCATAAACAATATTCTTTCAAATTAAGAAATGTACTTGGCGATCAGTTTTGTTGGTTGGTGCCATGCTATACTCGTCTGTCATCACCGCCAATTCAACCATCTGTAGTCTGTATCTATGTCTGTCATGTGAAAAAGTTGGTTGCCGAGTATATTTGTAACTCAAATACGGTATATTATATTATTATGCATTTGATTTTCTAGCATTAATTATAATAATAAAGATAATATAAAACATAAAATACATTTAACTATAATACTAGGTAATTTGATTGAGATGTATATTTTGCATTAAATTTAAATATGGTTAATGATGAAAAATAATATTAGTATTTACTTTGCGTCATCATCTCCCAGACCAATTTCATAAACTCTAGTAGCACCTAATTCTTCCAAACGTTGATCAATATAAATAGCAATTTCGTTATAGTGCTCATAAGTCTTATTTCCCAATCCAAATACCTGTAAAAAATAGAACATGATTAGGCAATGAATAACATAAAAGAAAATCTATTTTCATGAAACTAAAAATAAATAAATAATTATGAATCTATATGTTAGTTGGTTTTTAAATACTCATATGAGGTTAGTAATAGTAAAAGTTTTTGTAAAAATGCCATAGTAGTTGATTATAAATTATAATAGGAAATAATGTGTAAAAAAATTATAGTTAAACTAAAAAACAGAATATTTAAATGTTATCGCAGGGAAAAAATTATTCTTTTTAAGTTATTACACTTAGTAGTAGTAAGTTTACTAGCATTTACCATGCAGAAAATATATAACATACATCAAACTCATGAATTAGTATTTTATAATTTATGTATTTTAAATCACAATTAGGTTTGTATAAATTGCATGCGTTTGAAACCTGATCAGTGTATGTTAATAACAATTATTATTGATTGGATTAAAATATACATTTGTTCACTATTCATGAATGTCAAACATAAATAGGATGAAGTAGGCTATAACTTTGGGGTGACCTCCATTTAACATCGGTATGAATTAAATTAAATTAAATAAACGCACGTAGACATTTTCTCGGATACCCATTAATATAGGTAACATACGAGTTAGACAAGTAATAACAATTTTAATAAAAATATAGTTTCCTAAAGGATTAAGTCTAAGATTTAGACTGAAGATCTATTATGGTAAATTTAAAATGGACACTTGGGAATAAGAATATCAAGTAGAAATAATAAATATGAATGAATATAATAAAATTCAGTAATGGCAAGGAAACTTTAACATCAGATTACTATTCACACTAACAATAACAATTTGAATTTGAAATTACCTCAATAATATACTTACTGCATAATTCAATCCTTCTAGGTCGGCATCACCATTTTGAAGCCATTCGTAGAAATCCATAGCATTATCAGTTGGGTCGCCCTCACCATATGTTGCTATACAAAAAATAGCCAATGACTTTTGTATTTCTTTCATTT